TTATGGGCGGACATGGGGTCTCATCCTCTAGAGGCATGAGAAATTCTCAGCCTCTGAGTGGGGGCTGGGGTGGACAGGCCATCTGAAGCCTGTGAGGAGGGGCGGGCATGAGGGATCTCAGCTTCTAAGCTTGAGAACAGCTCAGCATTAGAATGGGGGAAAGGTGAGCCTTAAGTACAGACTGAGGGAGGGGCCATGCAGTTTGGAATGATGGAAGGAGGGGTCTAAGGAGTGGCCAAGCAGCTTGGAATGATGGAAGGAGGGGTCCAAGGAGTGGCCAAGCATTTTGGGGTGAGGGGAGGAGGGGTCTAGGGAGAATGGGGTACAGCCAGGGAGGCCAGAGAAGGGGGTGGAGATAGGTGCTGAGGGGATGGTGCTGTTGGAGGTTGGGAAAAGGGAGGGACCGTACCCTTAAGAGGCACAAGAAGGGGATCGTTCAAAGTCTATTTGATCCCCACTCCCCATTAGTGGGATGGCTCTAGCTATAAGCATCTTACAGTCTTCTGACAACGGGGTCCCTAGACAGCTCAACGTAAGCCATCAGATAAGAAATCCCCACCCATTTTCTTTCTCTGCGACAATATTTTTCTGGCTCTGAGAGGGTTCTTACCTGTAATGTCCCAAAAAGGGGCCATGCCTCATAATTTTCCAGGTGATACTGAGGTCAAACGGTGTTGCAAAAATACACCAGCTTTTTCTTTTTAAGTCCTTTAGAAAAGCTAAAATTTTTCCAATTTTGTAAAAGGCAGCCCAAAGGCGAATTCTTGGGAATTGAAGAAGATTGACCCATGGTGGGCTTAGGGAAAAAGAAAAAGAGAAAAAAAAGAGAAAAAAGAAAAGGGGAAAAACATATCCAACAGTTTCTCAATTCCCTGGCGCCAAGAGAACCGATAGAATTAGACCATACGCTTCCTGACAGGGCGTCTGTCCACTATGTCAGGGAAGGTATGCTTAGGTTCTAGCGCTCAAACAGAAACACTTGGACCAGAAGCCTGAGAGCATCAGGTGGAAGTTCCAGCAGGACCCGAGAGGTCAGGTCCGAAAAACAGTTCCAAGGCAAGGCTAGCTAGCTGCTTGGAAATCCCCCTCCCAGCCACAAGACAATGGGGAATTGGGGAAGGGGAGATTTACGTACTGTCGTGGCTGGAGAAGTCTGAGGTGGGCAATTTCCCGGTCCAGGGAACCATATGGGGGGGTTTGGGGTGCTCTTAGATGCACAGAGACACCCCAAGATCGTGGGGAAAAGCCCAGATCGCAGCGTGGATCTCCCTGAATGAATGCAACTTAGATCTTCTTCCAACCAGAGAAAAAGTTTATTAAAGATAAGCATATAGGCCAGGCTCCAAAGGAACCCAAACATCAGTGATCTAAATAGGGTTAAGGTGGTCAGGTGTGGCATGAGGTAGTCTCAACCTCTTGGGCCTGAGGAAAGCTCAGCGTCTGAGTGGGGGTTGGGACTAAGGTGGTCAGGTCAGATGACGCCCAGAGCGGGCATGGGGGTCTCATCGTCTAGGGGCATGAGAAATTCGCAGCATCAGAATGGGGGGAAGGTGAGCCTTAAGTACAGACTGAGGGAGGGGCCATGCAGTTTGGAGTGACAGGAGGAGGGGTCTAGGGAGATCTGGATGGGGGTGGCCAGCAAGCTGGGGCAAACGGAACACTGCTGCCTAGCTAGGATTAAGGGTGGAAATGGCCAGGAAGGCAAAACAATAGGAAAGCCAGTTGATGGGGGAGGTGGACCGGTTGGAAAAGGGTCCAGGTGAGAATTTCCGTTTGGAATGTCTGAGTGATTGGAACAGACAATGAGAATAGATAATGAAGGGAGCTGGAAGGGGAAGTTTGCTTTTAAAGGGAAATAAGGCAGTTTCTAAAACTTTAAGAGTTTCCTGGGACCCGTAAACAAAACTGAAGCCAGGTTCTTTTTGGGGGTGGGGAGGAAAGATGTCAAAGAGAAATAAGTGGGTCTAAAAGTTTTAAGGTTTTTCTGGGAATTGTAGGTAAACCTCTTCAGTGTGACTCCTGAGATAAGAACTTTGGAGTGGCTACTCTGGTGAATGGGATAATTAGAAATAAAAGGACTACCTTGCTGAAGTGAGGGTCCAGTTGAGGTTGGATATCATAAATATGTAGTGGATCTAATTAGCAGTTATGTGACTTTTTCTAGGTCAACTTAGTAGGGTGACATCTTTCTTCTCTCCTCATCTCCTGTTTAAGTGGCAGCCCAGGCACAAGATTAAATTAATCTACGGTTGAGTTTGGGCAAAGCATGAATATTAAGTACCTACGTATACAGAGCCCTTTGTCTAGGTGGCCTAGACACTCACTAGTTGTGTTACTCTGAGCAAGTCGCTCAATCTTGGTTTGCTTCAGTTTCTTCAACTGTGAAATGTAGATCATAACAGCATCTACCTCAAATGGTTGTTGTGAGGATAGAATGAGGTATTGTTTGTAAATCAATCAACAGAGTGCCATATAAATGTTTGTTTCCTTCCTCCACCCATGGCTTTGCACAGGCTGTCAGGTCCTGACCTGTCCACGAATGCCTGGAACCTCCTCACCTCTGCCCCACAGTACTTCTAGTTTCCTTCAAAGCTCTTCTCAAGCACCACTTCCATTATCAAGCCTTTCCAGATGCTTCAAGCTGCCAGTGCCTCCTTCCTTCCCTTCCCAAATTACTTTGTATTTATTTTGTATGTTTTCATTTTCCTACATATCTCCCTGATAGATGCAGGTTCTTTGACAGTTAAGACTATTTCATTTTTGTGCTAGGCACTAGCACTACCCCTGCCCCATCCGCACCTCCCTCCTCCCCCAAAAAACTGTACCTACTGCCTGGTACATAGTAGGGTTTAACAAATGCTTGTTGAATGACAGGGCCAGAGACCTATGAGAAGGCGGGGTACCTTCCTTTCTTTGCCTTTCTCCTTGTCCTAGATTTATATAAAGTCAGGTATGAAGATGACCTTGGGGATCACAGGATCATTGATCTAGAAGAGCTATTTAATTTTTTTAAATTTAAATTTATTTTAATTTTTTTTTTTGTGAGGCAATTGGGGTTGCCCAGAATGACACAGCTAGTGAGTGTTATGTGTCTGAGGCCAGATATGAACTCAGGTCCTCCTGACTCCAGGGCAGATGGGGTTGGAATCTGAGCCCCAGAAAGGAAAAACTCTGGCCCTGATGGGGTTGGAATCTGAGCCCCAGAAAAGAAAAACTCTGGACTTTCCCACATGGCCAAATCTCTGTCCCCTGAGGTTAGAGTCCCATCTACTGGTACCTCCCTATGGCCCCAGACCACTTCCCACCCTTGGTCCCACCTAGGCTCCATTTCCCACCCTTGGGAATTCTATTACCTCATGGACTACTTGGCCACTCTCCCACGGTCTTTCTGTATATAAGGTCCATCTTGTCTCCATTAAGATGCTCTGATTCTTAGAATCTAGCCAAGAGCACATGGATGCTCAGATTCCTTAAGAGTCTAGCTAATATGGCGAATCTTCAATAAACCTTGTTTTTTGCTGCAAGAAGGCTTGGGTCGAATTCTTTCGGGCAGGACCCAGGTGTCAATTCCAAGACCCCTAACGTCTAGACCGCATCAGGGCCAACGCTCTACCCACTGCACCTACCTGCCCCTAAAAGGGCTATTAGATAGCCTTCTTATCTAATTCCCTGGCTTTACAAATGACGGAATGAACCCCAGAGAGGTTAAGTAAGTTTGCTTAACAGGGCACATTAAGTCTTTCAGAGGTGGAATTTGAACCCAGGTCCTCTTATGAGATCGCTCTTTCCATTGATCAACTACCTTAATTTGCAAAAGAGAAATCGGAAGTCGAGAGAGGAAATGTCTTGCCCAAGGTGACCGAGCGGCAAGGGGGGGGAAGGCCTCCCCCAGCAAGCAATCCAGATCCCTGAAGATCAGATAACATCTGGAATACTGTGTTCAGTTCTAAATCACCTCCTTTGAGGAAGGTACACACAAGTTAACCCTGCATAAACCAATAAGCAGCAAAACATTCGGCTGAAGGCGAGGAGGGCAGAGCTGGTCTAGACGCCAATCTGAAGGCGAGGAGGGCAGAGCAGGTCTAGACGCCAATCTAGTATTAGTGGAAAAAAACCAGAGATGCTTAGCGTTCAGAAGAGATGAATTCTCGTCGAACTGGATCCTCTTCAAGCCCAGGAATACGGCAGAGGGATTAAGCTTGTTCCGGCCCCAGGGGGCAGAATTAAGAACAATGGGTGGAATAGTAAAAAGGAAAACATTCCCCCCCCCACTTAAAAGGTATCCCCAAGAGGAATCGATGGCCTCCCATCCGGCAGTGTCTAAATTTCCCCTCTTGGGGAGGCTTCCCGCCAAGGCTTGAACGATCACGAGAAGAGAAGGGAGCAGAGAGGATTTTCAGGGATGACTCAGAGATCCCTGACAACCCCCAAGAGTCACTGAATCCAGCTCTGCTCCCTTTCTTTCTCTTCTGTCTCTTCTTCTTCCCAGTCTTTGGTGATAAATTCCCCACCCCTCCTAATCTCAGCCCCTTCTCCTCTCTCTTCCTCCTCTCCCCCGCCCCCCCAGCATCTGTGCCCTCTCTCCCTCCGCCCGTTCATCCCCGCACCTCCGCCTTCCTCTAAGCCCCACCCCCTTACTCTCTTCTCCAATGATCAGGTCCTTCGTAACCCCGCCCTCCTCTCTGATTGGATGAACTCATCCCGCGGGAGCTTCATATTTGAGGCTGATTGCCAAACGAGCCGGGGTGGGACCTTTCCACTTTTTGTTGTTTCCACCTGTGCTTGAACTCCCCCCTCCCCCCATCTCCGTGCCAGGGTCGGGAACCTCGGGTTAGTTAGTTCGGCTCATCGGTTCTTGCCACGCACCCTCCTCGTTCCCTCCCCCAAGGCACTTTCCCCGCTCCCGTTAGCCGAGGGTGGGAACTGCGTGCTCCGGGCAGATCCTTAGAGGGGGTTCCCGCTTCCTGGGGATGGGGGTTGAGGGGTCGCGGGCGGGCTGAGCCTGGGGCTGAGCCGCCTCCTCCCGGAGGAGGCCCCGTGAGCGCCCCTTCTTCGTTTCTAGCAGCTTCTTAGGTCCAGTTCCATCCGAGTTTTGCAAGTTCTGGGACCCTGGACCCTCCAGCGACCTCTCCGGGATCTCGAGTGGACTTCTGTAAGGGTCAGTAGAGCCCCCCCCACCCCATCTAGTTCATTAATAGGCCTACCTCCGTAGGGTGCCATTCTCTGGTAGTTTGCTGTGTGTAGGTCGTTTGCATGTTGTCTTAGCCATTCTATTGTAAGCTCTTTGAGGGCAGGAACTGTCTTTGGGCTTTTTATGTCACTTAGCGCCTAGCACAATATATGGCAAATAGAAGGCCATTGAATTGAACTACTGAAATAGGGATAATTCGGGGAGACATATGATCAGAGGCCTAGAGTTCCAGGCCAAGTTGTACGACCATGTTGTGGGCATCGGTTTCCTGTTCAGCTTTGGCAGCACAGCCTGGGGACAGTAGATGGTACTCTTGGAGCCAAGAAGGCTCCAAGGCTGAGAATGTACTGGTAACCCGGGCCTATAGTATACATCACATACTCTAATGTTTTTCCCTGAGTGGGCCTGGGAATAGCCTTGGTTATCCAGAGTACGTTCTTACACAGGGGTTTTTATGGACAAGGAGAGAAGGCAGTAATGTCTTCACTTCTTGTGATGTGACTTCCCTGAAGTTTTTCATCTGCTCAATAACATTTTTAACTGTCCATTCTTCTCATTATAAAATTTGTCACCTTAGCATGAGAATCGGGGAGCACATATATTCCTGAGCCTTTGTTGTTTTCTGTGTAAAATAAAATATATAATTGCTTAAAGTTCATTCTAGTTCCCAGCATTCTTTGATCCTGTGATCTTTCCCCAGTCTCCTTTGCAGGATCCCCTTCCAGATCTCTTAACCGTAGGTGTCCCTTAGGTTTCTGTTCTGGACCCTCTTTACTTCACCTTCTATATTCACTTTGTGATCTCATCAGTTCCCTTGAATTTAATTACCATCTCCATACTGATGATTCTCATCTACCTATCCTGCCTCAAACTCTGTGCCTCCAGTCTTGCATCTCCAAATGCCTTTCATCTCGAATTGGATGTTCAGAAGACATCTAAAACTTGGTATGTTCAAAACAGAACTCGTATTCCCCCCCTAAAACTTCTCCCCACCTCTACCTCCCCTTCCGCATTACTGTTGAGGGCAAATGATCTTTCTAGTCACTCAGAGACATGAAATTGACTTCTCACTCTCTCTTATTCTCTCCTTCCCCCTCCCCCCATCCAATCTGTTGCCAAGTCTTGTCGATTTCATCTTTGCCAATATCTCTCCAGCATGCCCCCTTCTGTGTGACATTGCCACCATTCTAGTGAAGATCTGGATCACTTGATTCCTGGACTGTTGTAATAGACTGCTGGTGGTTCTGCCAGCTGCAACTAAAAAATGCTGTTTGGCGTTCAAAGCCCATCATAACCTGTCATCGTGCCCCTTTCCTCTTCCCCCTTTTCAGTCCTCTTTCACATACTCTTTGATCCAGTGGCATTGGCATCCTGGCTCTTCCATGAACAAGACACCCCATCTCTTGGCTCCAGGCATTTTTCTTATCTGTCCTTCTCGGCTCTAATTACCGACCTCTCTGGCTTCCTCTAAGAGCCAGCTAAAACCCCACTTTCTACAGGAAGCCTTTCTTAAATCCTCATAATTCTGGTGCCTTCCCTCTGTTAAATTTTAACAATTTATCCTGTATATAGTTTGTATATATTTGGTTGCTTGTTGTTTCCCCCATTAGATTGTAAGCTCTTTGAGAGCAGGGGACTGTGTTTTGCCTCTTTTTGTATGCTTGGAGCTTAGTACAGTGCCTGGCACATGATAGGTGCGTAATAAATGTTGATTGATTGAAATCCAACAACCATATTGACTGGGTCCAGTATGAATTCATATTATCCAATCTCAAAAGGGTTCTTTATAGCTGTATAGCAAGGTTTTTATTCTTCCTTGATTTTTACCCCACTCATCTTACCTACTGTTCCAAACCATTTCTCTTCTCAAGCCTTCAGTGTTCTGTCCATGATTCTAACAGATGTTCTTGATTCCTACTCTAAAAATAGTAAAATAGAGGTCCTTTGCTATGAACTCCCTTTTCTTTCCTATTTCTTAAAAATCTCTCTACTTCTCCACTGTCTCTTTATCCTTATCCCTAAGGACAAAATGGTTCTTTTGCATTGGTCCCAATTTCCTTAAACCTTTGAATACTATCCCTGGGCACAGGTCTCCTCAGCCCCACCTTGATCTGTGAATCAGAACTGGATAGTGGGTGACAGAGTTGCCAATTAAAACTCATTCCCAAACCTTGCATGAAATTATGTGCCACATTATGAGCCCTGGATCTCATTTTGGTAGAGTGCATAGCCACAGTCTTCTTTCAGTTGCTTCCTTGCTAGAACTTGTCCCCAGTGTCTACAGACCTCTCTGTCTATCTCCCTTTGTTGACTTGGGCTGGAAAATGACCCACTGTGACTTTTTCTTGGATTTCCTAATATGGATTCTGTCTAGTGCATTTTCTAGCTCTATTTGGAGGATGTTGGGGGAGAGAAGGGGACAAGGGGTTGGTGAGCAGTTCCTATGCTAATCTGCCATCTTGGCTCCATTTTTGCCAATTAATTTTTAATCTCTCAGTGGCCTGTTGAAAAAAATGGTTTTGTTTTTGCATTATGGCCAGTAAAGGATGTGTTTTAATATTTCTCCATTTGTTTATAAGGTTGTTATGCCTTAATGGTAAGTTTTTGTAAAGTTGCCATGTATACCTTAGAATATATATATATATATTCCTTTCTGTTCTCATTTAGTAATTTTGAGAGATCTGTCTTGGTTAACTTTTCCAAAATTTTATTGAGATCCTTTTTTCTTTTTTAATTAGATTAATTTAGCTCTTATAGGGGTGCATGGAGCCCCCACTATTATAGTTTTGCTGTCATTATCATTGTAACTTTTAGCTTTCCATTTTAATACTTAGATGCCATGCCTTTTGGTGAATATATGCTAACTATTAAAGTGAATTCATTGTCTATAGTATCTTTCCTTTAAAAATTTTTTTTTACTGATTTTCTTCATCTCTACCTCTTGATTATTTCCCTCAATATTCTCAGACTTTTATTTTTTAAAATGAATTACACTATTATGTTGAGCTCTGTAATGTATTCTTTTGATAATTTAATTGATATAGCATGAAAACTGAATAACTTTGGTACTATTATAATTTTTATTATATTAGCATGACCTAGTATAAGCCTTGAATATTTCTCCAGGTATTTAACTTTGTAGTTGAATCTATACAAGTACTTTGTGTTCTTTGGGAGATTTATCCCCAAATAATTTATTCATTTTATAGTTATTTGGAATGGAATTTTCCTTTCTATTATTGGCTCTTAAATTTAATCATTATGTGAACTACTGTTGATTTTTGAATGTTTGTTTTGTAGCCTCCAACTTTGCTGAAGCTATTATTTCATTTAGTATCTTTGCTGATTTCCTAAGATTTTTCCAATTAAACCATCATGTCGTCAGCAAACAGGGATAGTTTTATATCCTCTTTACCTAGCTTTATGCCATTAATTTTTTTTTTTTTTTTAAAGATAATTGCTGGAGAAAGTTGGGCCCCTCTTGCCTTTCCTGCAGCTTTCTTATCTGGAAATCCTGTAGCTAATGTTTATTGACCTAAATAGTAGTGGGGATATTAGATAGGTCATCTTTATCTGATGTTTCCCATCGTGTACATTATTCTTTAGCCCACCTTGGTTATTCTCTTGCCAATGAATGCATTTTGCACTTTGCAATTTGCTTACCTTATGCTTGGAATGTTGTTCCTAATCCTTCAGCCTTAAAACTTCCACCCAACCTGAATAACCTAATTCAAATGCTATTTCATTGATTAAAGCCTTCCTTGATCTACCTATTTTGTATCATCCCTTTCTGATCTCGTGTGGTGCTTTGGCTTTTAGCTCTTTAATGCTCTTAGGTTATTATGTTTTATGTATTTTTATTTTACCCCCTTAGTAGACTGTAAGCTCTGTGAGAGCAGAGAGTGTCATTACCTTTGATCTTACTGGGCCCTTTACCCTATACATTAATTAGAATCTTGAGATATGTTGGATCCATTAAATGCATTGTAGAAGAAAGCACTAAACTAGCAAGAAGCTCTGCCACCAGTGGGAACTTGGGCCTCTGGTTTGACCATCTTAGGTGTTCTCTAAAGCTCTATAATAGAGATTTGACTTACTGACTAGTGATCTCTGCTTTTCTTTTCTGCTGACAGGGATGCCAGAAGGTCCATCTCTGAGGAAGTTCCACCAGCTGGTGGCTCCATTTGTGGGGCAGTTGGTGGTCACCGTAGGGGGTAATAGTAAGAAGATAAACCCAAACATGCTAGAGATGCTGCGGCTCCAGGACTCACAGGTAGGTAGGTTTATAGGACAAATGTTTGATATCATTCTGACCCCTCATGCTGTCAGCCTCATTGATACAAGTACCTGTCTGCCAGGCTGTTTCAACAAGTAAGTGCTCATTATTTGTTTGGCATTTTGCAAGGGGTACAGAAACAAAATGAAACACAGACCTTGATCTTATATTCTATTATAGAATTTATAGAGTGTGATCTTCCTATTCTCCTGCTCTCCCTCTATTTGGGAAAAGATAGCTGTAAAAGTATTTCATACAGTATTATTTCTTTTAAACCTAGATTTTTCTTGCCAATTCATTTGGCTACCTTCTTCCCATTTATAACTCAGGCCCACCAGGATGTCATGGTGGAAGTAATTGATACACATATCATGTCTTCTTGACTTCTGCAGCATTTGACACTGATGACCACTATCTTTTCTTGAGTTTTCTTGTTGAGATTCTCTCTTGCTTCTCTTACTTATCTTTATCTCATTCCCTAGTTTCTTTTAGGACACACCTCGGGTGGCACCTCCTATATAAGGCCTTTCTTAATTTCTCCTACCCCCAACTGATAAAGCCTTCCCATCCCCCCATCACCTTTTATGACTTTCTATATGTGCATGTTCCTTTCCTTAGATAAACTGCAAGTATCTTGACGGCAGGGAGTGTTTTCACACTTCTCTTGGTATGCTCAGTGCCTGACCCATAGGCACTTAACATAATGCTGGCTCGTTTTTAAAATGTGTTGTATATACCTTAGGATTTGGTTTACTTTCTCCACATGGGAAGGATCAAAGTGCCATGTCTCCTTGGAATTTCTGGGGTTCCTTCAGCATGAATTGTGTGTATGTACATGCCTGCTACCCTTAGAAAACAGAGGAGCATTCCTCTAACCCTTTTACCTCCTTGAGGCCAGAGGCTAATTTGTACTTTGTGCATACATAGGTAGCAACTGTATATGTTATATGGGTCACTGCAAAACTCTCCTTGCCTTTCATACTTGCTCGAAGGCACATTCTCAGTCTTTTTTTTTTCCCTCTCTCTTAAAAGTTCTCTTAGCTAATCCTTTTGCCTAATTGCTGTGTTGATATGTTTCCCATCATTGTGCTGAGTTAAGTTCTCATTATCTGAAATTTTCTGATGTACTTTTATTTTCGGTAGGCTTTTATCCTTTTATTAAAATAGAGAGGGAAATCTTCATGTTTACTTTTAATTGGCAGGCTATGCATTCTTTTTAAATTAGTAGTTTCTTTTTCCCCCCAATTATATATAAAGACAATTTTTAGTATTCATTTTTACAAAATTTTGAGTTCCAAATTTTTCTCCTTCCCCTTCTCTCCCCACCTTCTTCCTAAAACTAAGCAATTTGATATAGGTTATATATGTGCAATCATGTAAAATATTACCGTATTAGTCATAGCTGTGAAAGAAGAAATAGACCAAAAGGAAAAGACAATGAAAAAATATAAAGTGAAAATAGTATGCTTTGATATCTGCATTCAGAGTTCATCAGTTCTTTCTCTGGATGTTGATAACATTTTTCATGATGAGTCCTTTGATATTGTCTTGGATCATTGCATTGCTGAGAAGAGCTAAGTTTGGGGCAACTAGGTGGGGCAGTGGATAGAGTTGCAGCCTTGGAGTTAGGAAGACCTCAGACACATAACACTCACTAGCTCTCTGTGTGTGTGTGTGTGTGTGTGACCCTGGGCAAGTCACTTAACCCCAACTGCCTCACAAAAAAAAAAAAGAAGAGTCAAGTCATTCATAGTTGATTATCATACAGTGTTGCTATTAACTGTGTACAATGTTCTCCTGATTTTGTTCATTTCACTTTGCATCAATTCATGCGAATCTTTCCAGGTTTTTCTGAAATCTATTCTTGTTGTACCCTAATAAAAACAGAAGCTGACCACAAGAAATTCATTTACATAACTTTGCCCACTTTATACTCTTGCCACTTGTCTCTAGCTATTTTGTTGTATTTACCTGATCCTTTGACCCTGAAAATTTTAGGAATAATTGGATTATTGTCAGTTGGGAAATGTTATCAAGTAATAAGACTTTGCATGACAAAGGTTTGGAGAAGGAAGGTCATGCCAGGGGTAACTGAAGAAACTGAGGTGGGAATAGGTTGACTTGAATGTGGGGTTATAGTGAAGACATTAATCTGAATTCTCTTAATAAGCATTTGTTGATTGTCCATGGTGTTAGGCTTGGCCAAGGCAAATACAAATGAAATGGAGAGTTACTGAAATAGGAATTTAAAGGTAGATTTGACAGTAAATAGAACATTCACAAATACATTGATAAAGCAGGCTATCAACTGCTGATTGATACTTTACTAGGAGCTGAGGAGACTCAAAGAAATGATAGTTGGGTTAATCTGCAAAAAATATCTGGATTGAGGAATTATTTTAATTATAAAATTTAAATAAATTAAAATTAAATTTAAACAATTTTAATTTAATAACAATTTTAATAACAATGCCTTATATAGAATTATATATTATATATAATCTATGTAATATTATATTTTATATTATACAATAATAAGTTTAATTTAAACAAATCCTATTCAACTCATATTTCAACTTTTTAAAGTTTTTAAAAGATTTATATGAATCTATAAGTTACAGCTGTTACAGCTTAGCAGTTGTTTCCTCTGTTTCTTTGTCCATTCAATCTTGTTTGTATTTTTTTTTCCTTTTTATATAGTTATGGTTTATGTATAGATTGATTTTTTTCTGGCTTTTCTTGATAATTGTATTATGTCATTTTAAGTTTACTTATATTTTATCCTCATAACAACCTGTGAAGTAAGTGCTATTAATATCCCCATTTTGCAGATGAGTAAACTGAGGCTGAGATAAGTCTTGCTTGGGGTTATTCAGCTACAAAGTGTTTGAGGCAGGATTTGAATTTAGGTCTTGACTCCAAGTTCATTGCTTTATCCACTGTGCTACCTAGCTGCCTCAATAAAGACTTATTTCACATAAGTCTTTGCATAATAGTATTCATAGGATCATATGTTATAACTGAGAAGGATCTTAGAGCTTTCCCAGGCCAACTCCTTTATTTTACAGATGAGAAAACTGAGTCTGCAGAGGTAAAGAAGCATACTCAAGGTTACCGAGGACAAAATAAATTTCTATTTATCATAATTCTTTCTATTCTTAATTAAATTGTGATATTACATTATATTGATTTACATTACCAGTTTGTTCAGCTTTTCCATGTTTGTTGGGCATTTAAGTGGTTTTTCACCTTTTTCCATGACAAAGAAGAAATGAATGGTGGGAATAAGCAGACCACAGTGTGGTACCAGTAATAACTTGGATGCCAGAAGTGGTGTAAAACTTAAAATTAGGCTCATAAAGGTTCATACCCTTAATGAATGAGGGGAGTGCCATGGTCAGATCTCTAGAGACAAAGCAGCCTAAACTCGCACTGGAAAACGGGAACACATGAGCCACAGCAGATTGAAAGGGAAAGACGGGGAAGCAAGGAACCTAGGGTCCTTCAGAAGGCCTACTGCAAGCAAAACCCAAAATATATGTTTGGGGCCTATTTGACCCAGTAATGGAAGAAAGAGAGCAATATTTATAACTGCACTCTGTAGTAGCAAAAAAAGAAAAGGAAAACCATTGATTAGAGGGCAGCTGAACATACTGTGATATGTGGATGTTATTCTAAGAGAAATTTATAAATACAAAATAGTCAAAGAAATAAGGAGAGGCTTAGATGAACTGATAAAGAGTGAAATAAGCAGAACTTCTATTCCAAAACTCCTCAGGATCATCTCTTCTTATTCTGTTTTGTGATAATGAGGGAATCCTTGTCTTTTGGAATCATTGTTTTCTCTTTGGCCCATTCTAGTTTTCAAAAAGTCGCCCAGTTCATGGATAAAGTTTATCTTCTTCTTTTCTAAGGCATTCTCCTTTCCATTCTTTCTTAGCTTTTATTTCATTTAACATTATATTTGAATTTTTTGCTTCATTTCTTTCAGATACTTTTACAGACCTTATATTCAAGTCATTCTTTTCTCTGAAGCTGTACTTGGACTTTTTGTGGCATTATTCTCTTCTGGGTTTACTACTTGGGCTACTCTCAATATTTAGTTGTCCTTCTATTTATTCACTCATATCTTCAGCCTTAGTTTCTATACTGGAGCCGTGTGACTGGGTCAGACTCTGCTACCTCCCATACTCTTGGATGGTGAAGGCAGGTCTTGCTGGCTTTTGGATGTGGTGGTGGCTAAGACTAAGCCCCACCCTCTGTAGGAATTCTGGGTTTTGGCTCAGTGTCCTAGTGGATCCAGTTAGGTTTTCACCTTTGCCCCTTCTCAGTCTCCTGCTTTTATAGTTCCAAATGTGGAGCTGGCTCTATGCCTTGCCTATGATATGAGCCTGATAGGCCCCAAACAGATATTTTGGGTTTTGCTTGTAGTAGGTCTCCTGAAAGACCCCAGGTTCCTTGCTTCCCTGTCTTTTCCCTTTCACCTGCTGTGGCTCAAGTGTTCCCCTGTTTTCCAGTGTGAGTTTTGGGTGCTTTGTCTCTAGATAGAGATCTGACCATGACACTTCTCTCATTCATTATATTTCATTGTCTCTTTATTGCCTCTAGAATATAAACTGACTTTTAAAGGCCTTTATAATTTTACTCAAACCTCTTTCCATCCATATGATATATTATTCCTCTTCTCCTACTCTGTATCCAAGCCAAACTGGTCCTCTTCCTATTAGTCAAATACAGCACTACATCTCCCATTTCTGAGCCTTTGTGCTGGCTGTCCCCTCTGCCTGGAATGCCTTCCTCACTTCTAAATTATAGAATCCTTCCCTTCCTTCAGGATAAATCTGTAGTGCCACCTTTTACATGAAACCTGTCCTGATTATAATACCCTTCCTCCTTGATGAACTTGCCTGACCCCTCCCCTATCCCTACTCTCCAATAAGTTCCTTGAGAACAGGGACTTTTAATTTTTGTCTTTTATCCTCAACACCTGAGACAGTGCTTGACATACAGCAGTCACTTAATAAATGCTTGCTGTTTGAATGGACATGGGACAGCTAACTTAATTATGATCAGTTTTGGTGCTAGAGAATAGGTGATGAAACATAGCTTTCTCATATTGGTAGAGGGGTGGGAAACTGTTTTAAGTGTGGAATGTTGCATTTGCTGCATTGCTTGGTTTACTTATCTTTGCATGGTAAAGATTCAATGGTGTTATGGTTTTATTGGAGAAATTATCATGGAGTTTAAAAAACTCTAAAAGCATAAAATTTAAGTAGTAATGTGAAAGACATTGTTAAACTTGTATAAATCAGAAGGGAGTTGGAGTTGGGCTGGCCATGTCTATAAAACAGTACTGTTAGATTTGATAACCTCTTAGATCCCTATCAGCTCTGAGATTAACCATAAAATAGTCTTTAATTGCATTATTAAATCCTCAATGGAGAAATTATGGAAAGATTTAGACAGAAAAGAGCACATCGAAAGAGAATCTGGCTGGCTTGCCAGTTGTAGCTATGGAAGAGGTACCTACACCAGTGAAATACTAGATATGATAAAGGAAACAATGCTGCTAGAAAGACTTTGAACAGGTAGCTTTTGTATTCTTTTCTGGTAACATCCCCATAACAGGATTTTTGGCTTAGAATGACCATTTTCCATATAGTTCTTGCCACATACTACCAGACTGCTAGAATCCTTTTGGAGAAAAATTTGCCAAATATTAATGCATGAGAACTGTATTTCTACAACCCCATCCATGTAGTTTTATTGTTAGGTGGGGGAGGGCTGTGTGGGTAATATGAAGTCTCACTGATGAGGTGAACTTTAAGGTTTTGAATAAGATGTAGAGAATGGCACATATAATGGTGTGCTGATAGGAAATTTCAATTCAACAGATACTTTTCAAGTTCAAACTGGTATCTCTTTAGTGCAGTGCCTGGAACATAGTAAGTGTCATCTCTTGTAACAAAAACTAAATGGAGGGGAGAACTGTTAGCAAAACTTAAAATATATGCTATGTTCTCAGCTCCTCCCTTCCCAAGTGGCCCCTCTTTATTCCTCTCCTTATGTTCTTTCTGAAGTGTTTTTCTAGCCACAACTACCCATTTTTACCCCTTTATTCCAAATGGGGTTCTCTTTTCAGTCCTACATACTTAACTCTCAAACTTGTCCACCCATTCCAACCTTGGAGAAGGTGTTGCCAACTTTGCTCTTCTTTGGTGACTCATGCACTGTGGCCTTATGTTAATTCTGTTAATAATACATATAGATCATTCCAGCTAAAAATAGATTTCATATGTCTTTTAATTGGTCCCCTTCCCTATAAGCAAAACTGATCTATGATTTAAATCATGTAGGTCTCTTAACAGATATGTAAATGGCCCACAATTCTTTAAGCCACAAAGTCTTAAAATCCTTAAATGTATCCTGATGGATGATTTCTGTTTTCCTACATCTTGTGGCATCCTCTGTCCCATACTCTTGCTCTAAATTCCTGTAGCACATACTACCTTTTCTGCTTATTTGGGAGCTAATCAAATACTGCCTTCTGTTATTGCAATGAAATATTATTCATTTCTTGCATTGTTAAAACATATGGATGGCTATGGCAGGTTCCTAGGCTCAGAATGAGCCATAGCTATCCATATGTTCTATGTTTCCAGACACATCTCCTCTAGAGTGTTGCAAGTTATGGCTAGTGAATTTCAACCCTGTTCTTCCTCCTAGGTCCATGGAAAGAATTTATATCTTAACTTTGGCCTAGCTGAAAACCTGGGACTTCCTGACAGTTTCCTATTGCCAAAGCATCTCCAGAAGGAAGTGAACCTTCCAGAAGAGACTAGTGATCATAAACTTGAATCTACCTCAGGGCTAGATGGACAAGAAGTTCCTGGCTCATCTTCATCCATTAAAGCACTTGAGCTTGGGGAAGAAGAGAAGGACCCTATTAATAATACGCCTTGGTGGCTAAATACTTCTCAAAATTCTGGGCCTTGGCTTTGCTTCCATTTTGGTATGTTTGGTAGTGTTCGGGCAAGTGAATTCTCCAGAGCCACAAAAGCCAACAAGAGGGGAGACTGGAAAGACCCCTTACCCAGGTATTAGTTGGGTCAAGGTGTTCTCAAAACTAAGGGATTGAGATGTCTGAGTGTCTGGCTTTTGTCTGTCTGTAAGTATATATTTTATTTCCTTGCACAGAGGAGGCAGCATGTTTATATGGGCTAATCAGTGTACCAAGAATTCAAATCCAGGTGCTAACCTAAATTTGTTGTAAAGTTTTTGGAAAAGTCACTTTTTTAAAAAAAAATATTTTATTTTCCCTCAGTTACATGTAAAGACAATTGTAAATATTCATTTAAAAAGAGTTTGAGTTTCAGATTTTCTCCCCCATTCACCCAACAGGGTAAGCAATTTGATAATTTGATATCAGTTATACATGTTCAATCATGCAGGGCATATTACCATATTAGTCATGTTATGAAAGAAGACATAGACCCAAAGGGGAACCCTTCCCCCCAAAAAAATACCCAAAGTGAAACAGTAGTATGCTTTGATCTGCATTCATATGCCATCAGTTCTTTCTCTGGAGGTGGATAGCATTTTTCATCGTGAGTCCTCTGAAATTGTCTTGGATCATTGTATTGCTGAGAAGAGCTAAGTCATTCACAGTTAATCATCATACAATATTGTTGTTACTGGGTATAATGTTCTTCTGGTTCTGCTCACTTCACTCGGCATTAGTTCACGTAAGTCTTTCCAAGTTTTTTCTGAAATCGGCCTGTCCAACATTTCTTATAGCACAGTAATATTCCGTTACAACCACAATTTGTTTGGCCATTCCCCAATTGATGGGTATTCCCTCAATTTCCAATTCTTTGCCACTATTAAAAATTGCTGCCATAAATATTTTTGTACACATAGGTCCTTTCTCCTTTTTTAGGATCTTTGTGGGATATTGCTGGATCAAAGGGTATGCAGAGTTTGATAGCCCTTTGGGCATGGTTCCAAATTGTTCTCCAGAATGGTTGGATTATTTCACAACTCTGCCAACAATACATCAGTGTCTCAGTTTTCCCACATTCTTCCAACATTTATTATTTTCCTTTTCTGTCATATTAGCCAAACTGATAGGTGAAGTCACTGTTTCTTTTAAGAGCTGTGGGTTTTTTTTCCCTATTTGTAAAATGAAACAAAAATAATGTTTCTTTTTCAAATAATAATTAATAATGACTTTAATGTCTCAGTAAGAAATTGGTGGAAAAAAAAAGAAATTGGTGGAAAATGCAAGGGTTCTTATGAATACCTAGTGATATCTTCCCCTAACCTGCTCCATTCTTGTCATTAGCACTTTTTTTCTGGGCAGTTTGAAATGAGGTGCAATGATTCTTCATCCTCACATTGTCTTTAGGAGTGGAAGAAGAGAAATGTATCCTGGAAGTAGTTGAAGTTAGTGACAGAGCTGAATCTAGAATTTAGATCCTTGTTTGGTCTTATGGAAAGAGAGCTGGCTTAGCAGGGCAGATACCATAAAGTGGGGTTGTCTCAGGGAGTGATAGCAGGATCTCAGCTTTGAGAAAGTCCTAAGTGCTTCTGTGGCTAGCACTCCCAAAGCCACTGCATTCCTCTGCCTGTTTTAATTTTTAATCATTGTTTTGATTAACAGTTGTCAACAAACACGAACATTTCAGTATACAAAGAACAAAAAAGATTGCATATTAAACATCCTGTTTGTTACATATAGTTTTTAAGTAACAAAATCACCTTCTTTGTGTCCCCTTCTGAACTTTTTGTTTTCTTCTGTGTGTTTTTATTGTGTAAATGATTATATTTTTTCTGCCCATGGTTTGTTTCATTCTTGTATCCCTTTCTCAGATTCTTTTGTATGTAGTAAGTGCTCAATAAATGCTGTTTTGAGCTCAGCTCTGTTGATGATCTGCCTTCTATTGTGCTGATAAATTCTCTCTTGTCTTCTAGGTTGGTTCTGCACTTTGCAAAGGGCTTCCTGGCATTTTATAATTGTCGGATTTACTGGTGTTTGGGACCCATGGTCAAACCAACTTCAGATATCCTCTCTGAGGAGTTTGATCGAAGGCAAGCCTTGGAAGCTTTGAAGCAGGCTAACCCTGTCTGCTATACTCTTCTGGACCAAAGATACTTTGCAGGCCTGGGTATGGATGGCCAGAAGGGATTCATATGTTTTAAAGTGTTTAACTTTTTTTTTATGCCATGTCCCCTTTTGGCAGTTTGGTGAAACCTATGGGTCCATTCTCAGTAATATTTTTAATGTATAAAATAGAGTTACAAAGGAAACATGCTGTAGAACACAGTGTAATAAATCATTGCAGAAGAGGAAAAGGGTCTCATGGGAATGAAGGGAGGAAGAGTGCTCTGGGACCACAGTGTGATTTGCCATACTCTGGGGGCATGTGCTCAGAGCTGATAATTATGTTGCTAATGGGATGAGACTTGCCTAGTTGCAGCCACAGCCAATGTGGTTTTTTTTATTTTATTCTTATTTTGTTTTGGGACTGTCTATCCCATCATGAGATCCCTGAATAAATAAACTTCCTCTAACTCTGCAGCTTACATCTTGGAGAGGTGCCTAGGGGCACTGAGAGGTTAAGAGATCTGCCTAGTGACCAGTGGACTATATCAGAGACAGGAGTGGGATTCAGGTGGATTTTAAGGTTGGCCCTCTCTATTAGGTCACATTACCTCTCTCTGTATTATAATCTCCTATGGCCAGTTCCCTACTAACTAGCCCTTACGTTTTAAAAATTGCTTAGCTGATCTCTCCTTCCTTCCATGAGTTCAAAGCATCAGTGCTCTAGTTTTAAGGCAAGGGCCTTCCTCAGGAGAGGGGTTTCTGCTGATCACTCAAAGCAGTTGTCATTGGGAATTGAGATGAATTGGCAAGTCCAATTACCCTTCTACTACTATAAATTGTAAATTTATTTGTATGCCTGTATTTATTTCTTCATATTTGTCCTTTTTTCTCCTTTCGTCTTCTTGGTTTCTAGGAAATATCATAAAGAATGAAGTTTTGTACTTGGCCAGAATCCATCCTCTCTCTTTAGGTTCTTGCTTAACTGCTTTGAACCTTGAGTCCTTGCTGGATCATGTTGTGAGTTTCAGTGCTGGTTGGCTTCAGAAAAAGTTGGAGGGGAAACCACAACACCATCTAATCTACCAGAAAGAGCATTGCCCTGCTGGACACCAGGTCATGAAGGATAGCTTTGAATCTCCAAATGGTTTTCAGAGACTCACCTGGTGGTGCCCCCATTGCCAACCCAAGGTGACACCGGAAGAGCCTAATGAAGTTCAGGTCACTCAGGAATAGCTTCTCTAATGTACTTTCTATACCTTTAAAGACATTCCCTTTTCCCCTTTTCTTTGGTGCTGTTTGATCTATATGTTAAATTGGGTGGGGCTTGCACAAAAGGGAACGGAAGAAAGTTCAGAAGGAAGTATAGACAACAAGAAGACAAGGTAAAATGTGGAATTACATAACTTTTTTTTTAAAGCAAATGGTATGAAATGTAGATTTACATTTTCATACAGTTCTCTTTTTGTGTCCTTTCTACATGGAAATACTTTTTTGGAATTTAAGTTCAGGATAAAAAGATAATGGGGTGGGGCTTATTCAAGAAGTTTCTAAGGTGTTTGGGTCTCAAGAGGCTTTTCTTAAGAGGCTCCCCTTTTTGAAATGTCAGTGATTAATAAAGAGTGTAGGCAGCTGGCTCCCAAAAAGCAATGCCTTTTGCCTATAGAAGTTTTGTTAAGAAAGAGATACCTAGCTAATTTTTCGTCTTTCATTTTCATCCTTAAAAGAGGAAAGGGGTATATTTTGGCCATAGTTAAAAGAAAAAATCTATGGTCAAAACTCTGCAATTAAAATACAGGCATTTGCAAAAATCATCTATGAATCTAAGGGATGCAATTGTGAGAGGTATTTTCTTTTTAAGCATTCTAGGTATAACTGAGAGGTAACGACGTGAAGCTGTTGGTTAGAGGAGCTCTGGAGTAGAAGATGGGGGTAACACCATAGGTAGAGAGATCTCATTCCTTTGTGGTTTTTTCCCCCTAGTTCATGTTATTTAAAAATTGAAACTTTAATATTTACAAAGCCCCTCGTCAAGATCTAGTGCCTATCTGATATTGATGCTGAAGCACAAAAATAAAACTTAACCCTTTGCCATTGACTTATCTTGTTTTTTTACCAGTAAAAATAGAAGGCAATGTTGTGTACAACTTGAATTCCAAAGTGACCTCTGTTCTAACTGTATTTTAACCTTGAATTCCTTATCCTGGAAGCCTTTTTCCTCATTTTAAAAACGAATTTAACACACATACTACCTTTTCAGTATTGTTGAACAAATGGGAGAAGGTGAACAATAACTAGAAACAGAATTTATAATTGGTTAACCAAGAGTATATTATAAAGATTCCCTGTTAGGGCTTGCATGGAGACCTCTAAGCCTGAGTTAACCTATCCTCTTAGTAAGTATGTAGGGCTTGGTCATATCAAGAAGAGAGTCTTTGGTTATTTAAACTATACCTCCATTTGAAGGAGAGGGACTGAAACAAGTCAGCTATTCTCATGAAAAAATCTGATTGAGAAAAAGGTCAACTACTGCGAAAATCTCTGAATTTCCTGTATTACTAATCTGATTGTTATTGATGAGTAATGTAAAGACTTCTTGTTGTTCAGTTCTTGCTAAGGACATACTTGCCTTTTGGAGGTCAAACCTAGTCTGAGCTGCCTGGTACTGCCCTTGACAGGGGTGCCAGAGAATACTATCTTTTCTGACCTTCTTAAAAATTAGGGTTATAAACACCTAAATAATCTAGATTTCCTTAGCTCAAGCATCCAGTCATTCATCAAAACCCTTTTTGAATCTTGTGTGAACCCTAGTTCAGGCCCTCTTCTCACCTGGACTTATTGCAATAGCTTTTTAACTGATTTCTCTGCCTCAAATTTCCACTCACAGCAATCCATCTTCCATTCAGTTGCCAAAGTGATTTTTTTCTGAATTGTGAGTCTGACCTTGTCACTTCTTTCTCACTGAGCTCCAAGAACTCCCTTTTACTATCAGGATCAAACATAAAGTCTTCTGTTTAGCATTCAAAGCAATTCATAACGCAACCCCTTTCTAGAAACCATTCCAGGCTTCTTAGATTTTACACCTTCCACAAACTCTGCAGTATAGTTGCACTGGCCTACTTGTTGTTCCTACATGTCACCCTCTATTGCTCATCTTTATGCCTTTGTACTTTTTGTCCCCCAGGCCTGGAATGTTCTGCCTCTTCATCTTGGCCTCTAAGGTTCCCTAACTTCCTTCAAGATTTGACTCAAATCCCACATTCAGCAGTTAGTCTTTCCTGGTACCCCGAGTTGCTAGTGTGTCTTCCCCTCTGAGATGACCTTCCATCCACTCTGTATATATCTTGTGTGTACCTTGTTATGTACATATCTTCCCTTATTACAATGAGTTTTTTGAGGGAAGAGACAGTTTTTGTTTCTCTTCATGTCCGATTGTCTGGTTCCTCCCAGAAACATTCATTCCTCTTCAGCCCGTTCTCTTGACTCTTGCTTTTCTCTACCATGCCCCCACCTTCTTTTCTTTCCTGCTCCTTATTTTTTTTTCTTTTTTAAAAATTTTTTTCTTTTAATTAATTTATTTTGATTTATCAACAATCATTTCCATAAGCTTTTGAGTTTTAAATTTTTCTCCCCCTTCCTCCTCACCTCCCTCCCCAAGAAGGTACACAATCTGATATAGGCTATACATATACATTCCTTTTAAACATTTTTCACATTAGTGATGTTGTAAGTAGGAATTAGAACCAATAGGAGGAACCACCAGAAAGAGGAAACAAAACACAACAGAAAGAAAAAAAATAGCAAATAATATGCTTTGATCTGCATTCAAACTCCATAGTTCTTTCTTTGGATGTGGATAGCATTTTCCATCATGAGGCCTTTGGAGATGTCTTAGATCCCTGCATTGCTGAGAAGGGTTAAGTTTATCAATATTAGTCATCACACGTTGCTGTTACTGTGTACAACGTTCTCCTGGTTCTGCTCACTTCACGCAGCATCAGACCATACAAAAGTCTTTCCAGGTTTTTCTGAAGTCAGCCTGTTCATCATTTCTTATAGCACGATAGTATTCCATGACATTCATATACCATAACCTGTTCAGCCATTCCCCAATTGATGGACATCCTCTCAATTTCCAATTCTTTGCCACAACAGAAAGAGCTGCTATAAATGTTTTTGTACATGTGGGTCCTTTTCCCATTTGTATGATCTCTCTGGGATATAGCCCTAGAAGTGCTATTGCTGGCTCAAAGGGTATGCACATTTTTGTAGCCCTTTGGGCATAGTTCCAAATTGCCCTCCAAAATGGTTGGATCCCCCTCCTTATTTTTCATTTTCCTTTTAAGTGTTGTCTTCCTTCATTACGATATAAGGAGCACTTATTTTTTACTTGTATTCTGACTCCCAGTAATTTGCACAGTTCCTGGCACAAGGTAGGCACTTAATGTTTTTTCACTGACTATGCCTACTTTGTTGGTTATTCAGTCAGCCTCTCTCTATTTACCATTCTTTTTAGACTATAACTTAGTGGCATGGGGCCAGTTTCCTGTTTTGTTCTTCACATTTCCAATGTGATAACTGTAGCTTAGAATGTGTGGGTGTGTATGTATATGTTATATGTTATATATACACATACATACACACATGCATAAATAGTAAAAGGATTGTATATATTTATCTCCCTTTATAAAGTATTTTCCTCACGGCAGCATTGTGAGGTAGTCATAGGATCCTTTACAGATGATAAATTGAGGTTAAGTGATTTTCTCAGCTAGTAAATGACTGAACTTTTCCAGTGTTTCTTCCACTAAACCCCACTGCCTCTTCACTAGGCACTAGTCCTCAATCATGAATTTATGATTAACCCAAGTCCTTCATGATATAGGTTAAAGCCCATTTCTTTTTGTTACCCTTCCTTTGTACAATATGCTTAAAACCCTTTAAGTTGGACTTCTGTGTATCTTTTTTGCAAGTCTAAAAGTACATTTTCTTTGGCCTTTCCATGAGACCTTACTTTCTTAACCCTTGAGGTAGTGATGTTGCTTTTCAATAAATATTCTCCAAATTTTCCCAAATGCATTTACTCAGTCAATAAATATTTGTTAAACCCTTAATGTGCTCCAGGCCTGTGCTAAGTGGAGCTACAAAGAAAGGCAAAAACAATGTCCTTAAGAGCCCACATTTTAGTGGGAAAATCAATCTGTAAAAATTTGAATTCAGGATATTTACAGCTGTGGACTCAAATGGACATAATATACTCCATTTTGATAAGTTCCAAAGAAATCACCTAATCCCTGAGTGTACCTAGGACCACCCCTGGCTTCCATTTTGAGGGAATTTGGGATATAAGACAGTATATTTGATCCATCAAACTTGTGAAAAAAGATTCTACCATCATTCCTTAAAACAATTGTTACCCCCTAACCCCTCAAATCCTTTAGGATTAGCCAATGAAATTGCCACCGCATCATTGTTGATCTTGTTAGGTGCCATGATAACCTTTTATCTCCATATGGATAATATGGGATGTGGCCCTTCCCAAATATCAGTCACACCTTTTGTTCTTTAAAAACTAATTCTTAACTGTAATTATCAGAAACATTTAAATATATTAAAGAATGAAAAAGCACTTATTAACTAAGTACTGGGGATACAAATAGAAAGGAGGCAAAAGGAGCACACATTCTAATGGGGAGACAACGTGTTTCATGCAACTTTACTTTTTTAGGCACACAATGAGGTAAGGTAACATGGGTCTATGCATTTTTCTGAACTTTGTATTTTTGGGGGCTGTGTTGCTAACAGTAATAGCATCAGCATCAGAATCAGGAAGGCTTAGGTTCAAGTATTCATCTCCACCCCTGCATACCTTGGCTTTGAGGCACTGGGCACATTACTGAATCCTTCAATGCTTAAGGCAACTCTGAGACTATAAATTGTCAACAAAGTTCTGATCTGCATTGATAGATCCTTCCTGAGAGTTCTCTATATCCGTGAAATCACAGGCCTTGTTCCAAAAAAAACCAAAAAACAAAACTCAACAAATTGACATACTTATCAGTGTTTATGTTCGCCAGAGTTTGCTTTCTTTACTGTGCATCAGTCCATATGTGTCCAAGTCTATTTCTATTTGTCATCATGGTACAGTAACATACCCCTGCATACTTCCTCCTTCACCCAACTATCATGAGAATCAAGTGAGATTTGAGGACTCAGAAAAGTACAACGTGTTTTGCAAATGTGAGATGGCATTGTTCCTTTACTTCGTTTAATAACAAAAACTGGAGGTGTCCTCATACCCTTTCTTGGAGAGAGTTCCTTATGATCTTATCATAGGTGACACTAGGTGTGGAGTTGAGAAGACCCGAGTTAAAATCTAGCCTCAGATACTTACTAGCTATGTGACCCTGGACAAGTCACTTAACTTTGTTTGCTTCAGTTTCCTCAGCTGTAAAATGTGAATGATAGTGCTTACCTTGCAGGGTTGTGAGGATCAAATAAGATCATATGACCTGTTATTCTGCCCTATCAAAAAGAAAATGCTTTTCCTTCAAATTATTCTCCAAAGTTTAAAAAAAAAAAGGGGGGGGGTGTGTGACCCAGTAGATAAAGGTCTGGCCCCAGAAGAAGTAAGACCTAGGATCAAGGATAGCCTGCCCATTACACAGACTGGCATTGTGATCCTTGGCAAGTTACTTAAATATTTCAGTGCCCTAGACAACCATCTCAAGGGAAGTGTAGGATAATAGAAACTGGATTTGGAGTCAAGTTTCAAAGATCTAGAGCTGAAATGGATCTCAAGAAGGCATCTAGGTTAACCCCATCTTTTTTTTGTATATGTAAAATTTTTCTTTTCCTTTTTTCTTTTTTCAACTACATGTAAACAAAAATTTTTAACTTTTTAAGTTTTGAGTTCCACATTCTCTCCCTTCCCTCTTTCCTCCTTGAGAAGGCAAGCAATTTGATATAGGTTATACATGTACAGTCATGGTAAAACGTTTCCATGTTAGCCATGAAGCAACGGAAGACACAGACAAATCCAAGAACATTAAAGTTTTTTAATTTTTTTTTTAATTTTTAA